AAAAAAAAAAAAAAAAAATGTCTAGACTCAGGTGTGTTTTGTTCAACATTCAGAAACTAATTGCCATTCAAATGCCATTCATAATGCATTCATAATGCAGCAGAAGTGTACCCTGTGAGCCTGCAACTCCCTTGTGAGGGTGTGTGTGTGCTACTTTCCCTCCTAATGTTACTAAATGTGCCACCCTACCACAGGACACTCACTAATCTCAGTGGAACACAGTAAGATCTATGTTTTCAAGAAACAAAAAGCAAGAAAAACAGGACAAAGGGCTGCATTCAAAGCCCAGAGAAGGGGACAACCTGTCACCCCCAATTTCCCTCCACCTAAATAAAGCCCAAATCCTTGCTAACCCACTACTAGTTTATGATCAAAATTATATGTGTCAAATGATTCTGAAATGACATTCTCTTCAACTCAAGAATTATTTTTCTCTTCAAAGATAATCCGGTGTTGAGGTTCCATAAAGGAGTTCTTTAAGAGCTAACTCAATAAATAGGTTAAAGTAAGGATTCCTCACCTGAGAAATTCATTATAAACCTCTTTACTTTTCTCTTTGTTTTATCTTTAGCTTCCTTTTCTATCTCTCACCCACCTCTAATAAACCTTCATTCTACTTCATATCACCAAATTTTAAACCTTTTCAGGAGGGACTTGAACTATACATAACAAACTGACAGACCTCAGGGGATAGATGCCAGCACAAGCAGGAGCATCCAGATGCAGGAGGACTTGAACACCAACCCCTGCAGTTCTGGAAGTTCTCTCCTCTGATATCTGCTCTTAATGTTACTGGACCTCCCCTCAGAGTTGGGGATTCCAAGGAGAACCCATAACCCAGATACAGTTGAGCAGGCTCTGACAGGGCTCAGGAACTTATGAGGTGATGCTGACAAATCTATAGAAACCCAGATTACAAGTTTAACATTTAGAATAATAAAATGAAGTAAGTGCAATAAAATATACTCTTCTGAGGTAAAATTTTTCCCTCCCTCACCCCCAGCCTCTTATGAGGGAAGCTTTCTGATTGAAATATATTTCCATTATAGAAAGGACAGAAAATCCATCTTAGGTTGAGATCAAAGGATGAATTATATAGAAGATCTCTCTTACAAAATTGTAACTTTGGGGGGGGCACCTGGGTGGCTCAGTTGGTTGAGTGTCCGACTTCGGCTCAGGTCATGATCTCACAGCTTGTGAGTTCAAACCCCACATCAGGCTCTGTGCTGACAGCTCAGAGCCTGGAGCCTGCTTCAGATTCTGTGACTTCATCTCTCTCTCTGCCCCGACCATTCTCATGTTCTGTCTCTGTCTCTCTCAAAAATAAACATTAAGAAAAACAGAGTTCTAACTTTGGGTCTATGGGTACAAACCTGCAATGCATTCCTCAGTGCTTTCTGTGACCCTCAGTATATCACAACTACCCTTGGCAGGAGTCCCTGTATCCACTCTGTCTCCTCACATCCATTCTTCATGCAGGAGCCATTGTGACATTTTCAAAATAATGACACAAAAACAACAAACATACAAATAGCCACCATGTCCTCCACTCCTCTGCTTTAAGCCCACCAATATTTCCCATTGCACTGAGAATAAACCCCCAATCCTTACTAAGGCCAGGCAAACCCAGTATGATCTGGTCCCTTCACCTTACTTACCAACCTCTTCCCCTGCTCATTAAACCCCAATTCCACAGACCACCTTCCTCTCACACTTGAAGCTCAGGTCAGCCTCCAGGCCTCTGGACCTGCTATTCTTTGTGTCCCCACATCTTGGTTTCTTTATATCTTTTGGGTCTCTGCTTAAATGTCCTTATTTCACCACCCAAAGAGGCTACCACTACAATATACGCTCAACGGGGGCAGAAACATGGTCTGTTCTATCCCATCATACCCCCCAGCACCTGGCATCAGGCCTGGTATGTAGCAAGCACTCTCCACACTTGCTAAGCAAGTAACTGAAAAGAAATGAAAACAGGCAAATCTACGGAGAAAGAAAGTAGATTAGTGGTCACCTAGGGTTGAAGGAATAGTTCTCACCCCTCTGGAGCCCTGTACATGGATATCTTTGGTTTCTAGGAGCCATTCTTGTTTTGTTTTGTTTAAATAAAAAAAAATGTTTAAATTAAAATAAAAAAAATCTCTAGAACATAACCTAGCATAAATAGTTAACTGAAAAATAAGATAATTATTCTGTGAAGAAATCAAATGCCCTGCATGGTTAACAAGAAAAAAATTTGCAAATATCTTCCTTTGGAATAAACAATCTCCCATATCATGAAAACTAAGAGCATAAATGAAAGGCCAAGTGATTGTTTTTGGCTTAAAGGATCTGAGGATAATCACCTTTGCAAGACCCGCTCGATGGGCTCCTTTAGACTCCATGTACGCGAGGTATTTGTTGAACTCCCGGAACTCCTCCATGGAGGGTCTGAAGGTCATGATCTTACAGCTGGGGTTCAGAGGACTCTCTACCTCAGCCACCTCCATGATGGTTTAGGGCAGTCTCTGCAGAGGAGATGATGCAGTCATCAGCACTGAATTATTGTGTGCTTAAGGTTGGCGGTCATTTCTCCCAAAAAGCATATAAGCATTCCCAGGAGTAACTCTTCTCCTTTATTTACCATTCCCTCTACCACATCATTGAGGAGACTTCCTTATCTCTCCCTGGACTCCTGGGGGAAAAGCCAGCCTCTAATCTTCCTCCTCCCAACTTCCTATTTCTGTGATTCAATCACTGACCTGACTGTATTACTTGCCTACTCAAAATCCTTCCTAATAAGAACAAATTTTCTAACTTCACAAGTTTACAAAAGGTGTTGTTTCTATGTACCAGTTCTGAAACACTCGGTCATACATGCACCTGCATAAAGGCCTAGTCTAGGTTGAGTAGTGAATGGACAATGTTCAACATCCCCAGCACAGACTTGACTTTAGGTGTACTTCCACTTGTCATAATCTTTCCCAGAACAATTTACAAACTACCCATTCAGCAAAACTACCAAGCACCAGACTAAAGTACTGGAGACAGAGAAATGGATAAGGTTTGTCTTCACCATCCAAACTCACTGTCTAGAGGCAGAACAAACCTCAACACAAAACTGTACGCTGGCAGGAGTAACTAACTCCACCTAAATTACTCAGAAATGACTTCCCCAGAAAGGAACACAGTCAAGACTTATTAGAAGGTGTAAGGTTTGCCATACAAGAGAAAGAGTATTCCAAGCAGTGAAAATACCTAGAAGTACTGTAAGGACAGAGAGAGTTTAGTTTGTTAGGAGCTTAGAAAAGATTATAGGACGGACTTCAAGCTGTATTACAAAGCTGTAATCCACAAGACAGTATGGTTCTGGCACAAAAACAGACACTCAGATCAACAGAACACAATAGAGAACCCAGAAATGGACCCACAAACGTATGGGCAAATAATCTTTGACAAAGCAGGAAAGAATATCCAATGGAATAAAGACAGTCTCTTCAGCAAGTGGTGCTGGGAAAACTAGACAGTGACATGCAGAAGAATGAACCTGGACCACTTTCTTACACCATACACAAAAATAAACTCAAAGTGGATGAAAGACCTCAATGTAGGACAGGAAGCCATCAAAATCATCAAGGAGAAAGCAGGCAAAAACCTCTTTGACCTTGGCCGCAGCAACTTCTTACTCAACATGTCTCCAGAAGCCAGGGAAATAAAAGCAAAAATGAACTATTGGGACCTCATCAGAATAAAAAGTTTCTGCACAGCAAAGGAAACAATCAGTAAAACTAAAAGGCAACTGATGGAATGGGAGAAGATATTCACAAATGGCATATCAGATAAAGGGTTAGTACTGAAAATCTATAAAGAACTTATCAGACTCAAAACCCAAAAAACAAATAACCCAGTGAAGAACTGGGCAAAAGACATGAATAGACACTTATCCAAAGAAGACACCCAGAGGGCAAACAGACACATGAAAAAATGCTCAACATCACTCATCATCAGGGAAATACAAATCAAAACCACAATGAGATACTACTCACACCTGTCAGAATGTTTAACATTAACAACTCAGGCAACAACAGATGCTGGCGAGGATGCAGAGAATCCTCTCTTTCGCAGTGCTGGTGGGAATTCAAACTGGTGCAGCCACTCCAGAAAACAGTATGGAGATTCCCCAAAAAACAAAAAATAGAACTACCCTACAACCCAGTATTTGCACTACTAGGTATTTATCCAAGGGACACAGGGTTGCTGTTTCAAAGGGACACATGCACCCCAATGTTTATAGCATCACTATCAACAATAGCCAATGTATGGAAAGAGCCTAAATGCCCATCCATGGATGAATGGATAAAGAAGATGCAGTATATATATGTGTATATATATATACACACACAACTGAGTATTATTTGGCAATCAAAAAGAATGAAATCTTGCCATTTGCAACCACGTGGATGGAACTAGAGGGTATTATGCTAAGCGAAATTAGTCAGAGAAAGACAAATATCATTAACTTCACTCATATGAGGACTTTAAGAGACAAAACAGATGAACATAAGGGAAGGGAAGCAAAAATAATATAAAAACAGGGAAAGGGACAAAACATAAGAGACTCTTAAATATGGAGAACAAAGGATTACTGGAGAGGTGGGGGGATGGACTAAATGGGTAAGGGG